GATAATTTATAAATTATTATTATTTTGTCATATCTTACACTGTCCAATGTCTCCCTTCACCCACTTTTCTGTTGGCCATCCCCCAGGGAGGAGGTTATATGTAGATCCTTGTAATTAGTTCCCACTTTCTACCTCACCTTCCCTCCACCCTCTCGGTATGGCCACTCTCACCACTGGTCCTGAAGGGATCATCTGTCCTGGATTCCCTGTGTTTCCATTTCCTATCTGTACCAGTGTACATCCTCTGGTCTAGCTGGATTTGTAAGGTAGAATTGGGATCATAGTAGTGGGAAGAACCATTTAAGAACTAAAGGAAAGTTGTATGTTTCATAATTGCTACACTGTACCCACCATTGCTACACTGCACTACACTGGCTCATCTCCTCCCCGTGACCCTTCTGTAAGGGGATGTCCAGTGCCTACAGATGGACTTTGGGTCCCGAATCTATACTCCTCCTCATTCAAATTCCTTGATGCCTGATACCTGATCTGTTCGACATTTCGTGATCACACAGGCTGGTGTGCTTCTTCCATGTGGGCTTTGTTGCTTCTGAGCTAGATGGCCACTTGTTTACTTTCAAGCCTTTAAGACCCCAGATGCTATATCTTTTGATAGCCGGGCATCATCAGCTTCTTCACCACATTTGCTTATTGTCTTCAGCGATTGTATTGGGAAGGTGAGCATAATATCATATGATTTTTTTGTTCTTTGATGCCAAGGCTGGAATTTTTATGAAACAAAAGGTCTCCTGAAGTGTGGTGAGGATTTTGATTGGCATGGAATTTAATGTATAGATTAATTTACGGAGACTATTTTAATATTATTAGACTTGCAATTCATGAAAATGACAATTATATCCTTTAGTTAGATAGTTCATTTCTTTCAAAAATTTCAATAACTATCAGAGCACAGGTTTTGTATGTCTTTTTCTAAGCTAGTCTTAATGTTTTGTGTTTTCTGGCATTAATAAAAAGTTATTTAATTCCATTAAAAAAAACACCCCAACAACTCAAAGCCATGGAGTCAATGCTGACTCACAGTGACCTACAGAACAGGGTGGAACTGGCCCATGTGAGTTCCCAAAAGAGTAACTATATACAGGAGTAGAAAGCTCTGTCTTTTTCCCACACAGTGGCAGGTGGTTTCAAACTGCCAACCTTGCAGATCACAGCCTGACATGTAACCGCTACACCATGAGAGCTTTAATCTCATATAGATAATTCTTTTTAAAAATCACAATACTAAAAAAAAATCACAATACTCAAGGCAGGTATTCTATTGTTTGGTTATGAAGATGTTTAAGGGATGTTTTTGTTTTAAGATCTAAAGATTGTGTCAGGACAATAGCTTCAAAGGTTCATCCAGCCTTCATGGATTCTGAAAGCCTGGAATCCACAAGAATTTAGTGATACCGTTCTATATTTTCCGCCTTTTGATCAGGATTCTTCACAGAATCTTTGATCAAAACGTTCAGTAATGTTAGGACACCATCCAGATCTTATGGCCTTATGGCAATTAGCCACACATTTCATTTCCTCCACCCATTCCTGATTCTGTCTTACTTGGATCCACAATCCGTGCTCATGGAAGCAGCAGTCAAGAGAACAACAGACATATTGCATTAGGCAAATCTGCTGCACAAAAACGTTTTAGAGTATTGAAGAGCAATGATGTTACTTTGAGGACTAACTAAGGGGCGCCTGACCCAAGCCATGGTATTCTCCATTGCATCATATGTGCATGAGAGTTGAGCATTGAACGAGGAAGACTGTAGAAGAATCGATGCAATTGACTTGTGGTGCTGGAGAGGAATACTGAAAGTACCATGGACTGCTAAAAGGAGAAACAGATCTGTGTTGGAATAAGTAGGCCAGGATGGCAAGATTTTGTCTTACATACTTTGGACA